ACTGTTTTACACTTAAAAAAAAAAAAAAAAAGCACAATTGCACTTTTTATTTGTGCATCACTGATCTAACTGATCCCTGTTTACAGCCAACTCAAGAATACAGAAAAATAAATTAATAAAAATGTGACAGTTGTTTGCTTATTTAAATATAAATCTGAGGACCAGAAAACCTTGCGATAAAAAAAAAATGGGTTACAAAAATATTTGAAGCCCCTGGAATTACAAAACTCATTCTGTCCAACAAAATTCGCTGAACCTGTGTGCAAAGTTTTTCATGCTCTTTGGTCGTAGCTTTAACTACCTATTCAGGCACACGACGCCCCTTTTAGTTCAGTGGCATATAACAAGTAAACAGAGACCCAGGGGTTAAGGTTCAGCGTCCCGATAGAGCGACTTCTGATGACCTGCCTTCAACAATGACACGTCTGCCGCCATGTCGAGGGCATATAAGCGCTCATTAACCTTGCTGCCAAAAAAAAAAACAAATAATAATAATAAAAAACAAAAACATAAGGCCATAAAATCGGGCTGTCGGGTTATGTTGAGATTGCACCTCACGTGTAATTTCGAATGAGAACAGAAAGTGTACAAGTGCTAAAAAAGAATGAATAAATAAATAAATATTATTTCCAAAATGACTGTAATATTTTTTAAATCTACTGATAATTAAATTACCCCACGAGTGCTTTCTCAGAAATTACTTAAAGCCGTGCACTACAGTGAAAACCGCTCCAATTAAAATCACTGCGATTCAGTCTCATTCTTCTCCGGCCGAGGGCCTCAAAGGGCTGCTCCTCGTGCCCATCTAATTGGTATCGTCAGGAATTCCTCAAGTATTGACCCAGCGGAGCCTGAGGGGTCTTTGTTCGTACAGACAGGCCTCCTACTGGTCATCTCTGTGGACCTTGTAGAGTTGCTGACCTCTGCACTAACATCACACCATATTGCTTCCAGCTTGACTGTTTTTTAAGTGATACATTTATTAATGCTGTTAGGTTATTAGATAAAATGACACATAATCGACTGAGTGTTAAGCTGTAAAATGCTTCATATTTTAGACTAGGGTATTCGTCTGGAATATTACTACAAATACCATTATAATAGGTTACATATGAAAGGCGAAGAAAATGCTCTGCGCAAAGAAATGTTTGAGATACAAGCACAGGCTTTAAAAGCAGTGAAAATAAATTCCACTAACACGCAACGAACTGTTCTGTCTTTATTCAATAAAGCTATTTGTAAACTTTACAGTAGCCTAGGCCTAATTGTCTGGGCAAAATAAATCCTATTTGAATTAGTCACACTAACACGATGTCAGGAAGGTTAACGCACTCCAACATCTCAGCAGTCTAAGTTAGCAAATTCTTCTGTCACTGTGTTTCCAAAAGTGTCCTATAGAGGGAAGCACTGACTTCTGTCCAGTTTCTGTGCAATCACAGAACGTTATCAAAGGTTTGCTAGTCTTGTCCTTGCAATAAATGTAGAATTTGAAGGGCGGGTTGTCACTTCTGTGTTTGATATAGGCTTGGCAATGAGTTTTTTTGAGGTGTGCTGCAATTAAAGAGCGGTAAAAGTGATTCACTTTTGAAGAGATATTAGAGGAGTTACAGGCCCTCTAAACACTTGCTCAGTAAATCCAGCACACTATAATAATATCACTGTATTACTGTGAGAACTCACAGTTAAAAGAATCCTAGAGCACTGCAACTAATTCATCTCACATATTACAAACAGCACAAGTCAGTTTCTCACGGCCCGCCATTACATATTCACGCCACTATTATTAAAAAAATATATATATATATTCTAAAAATCTCTTTGTTTTAACCCCAAACTTTTTAAACTGTTTGACTGAACAAAATCGTCTCATTTCCACACACATTTGAGAGGCGGATCTGAAGCGGTTGAGCGCGACTGCAGCACCATGGAGAGCGGCTGAGAGCCCTGTTATTATTAAATTCACTTCATTCCTCTGCTTGCATTCAGAAAGTTGATAGGGCTACAGCTGTAAGAGACTAGACTAGTTGAAATGTGTATCATTTGTTTGTTGCTAGTTCTATATCAACGGCAAGCACTCGGTTTAAAAAGTAACACAATGACTTTCATTTATATAAAGCGTTCATTATCGGTCAGCAGCAGACTAAATTATGAAAGCGTGCATGGTGTGTGGGTCTAAATATAAACACTTGTAAAGACCGTTTGAGTTTTGTCATTATAATTCAGCAGTGGCTATAAAGCATCACACGCCTTTTCGATTTGGGTATCCAAATGGCTCAAAAAACAAGTCTGTTTGATCAGTGTCTGTGCCGCCAACATGTATATAAAACCAGCCATACATGCTTAGATAATGGCAAACGACCCATTCCTGTGTGCAGAAGACCCCCATCAGCAAGCAACATTCAGTGAACCGTCAGAGCTCGGATGGGATCGCCTAGATACAGGTTAAGCAATTTGGGTAACAGGCTCTGTGTCTAGAAGGTATTCAACTCTCCTTTTTGAAGTTAAGAGATGAGAGTGCTCTGTCTGGAGGAAACGTTGTCATGCGAAACAAAGGCGGGGCAAGCAAGAGTTAGAAACTTTTTATTTGTTTGCCATGATGATTTGTATAAACAAATCAGTCCCAGATATCGGCCCATATACTTTTAAATCAACAGGCCTACCTTGTTTAATGAATGAAGTTTTGGACATTTTACCACTTCCTCAAAATACAAATACATTTGAGTGTACATTTGTTTTTTTTTCTTTCATTATAGTTTATTCCTAATATTGTTAATTGTATGCAGAAATAATGTGCATCAAAGTCAAAATGTGTAAAAATAAATAAATAAAATAAAAATAAAATAGTTACAAATTAAATAAAAATTATAAATATGCCTAGGTATAGAGCCCCTAAACTGCATTTAGACATTTTTGGACACACCTAAAGCTAAATAACAAAATATCTGCAAATAAATGATTTTAGAGTTAAATATTTCGAACCAAGTAGTCTACTGCAAAGAGGATTTTTGAGAATACATGAAGTAAGTTACCGCAAGTTCTAACAGAGTAACCACAGGTAGTTTAGCAAATTATCAAACACCTGTCTTAATTAATTTTAAACATTAAATTGTTTAATTATTTGAAATGTAAACTTACTTTTGTTTTGCTATTTTATGTAACGCGAACATATTCACTTATACCAAGTGTGGTAAAAGTATCCAAATACTTTTGTACGCCACTGTATCGTGAACACGCAAATTTACCTTGAAGAGGAACTTGCTTGTTTGTTTGTAAACAACAGAACATACAAGAATCCTTCTCCTATAAACGGATGTGTAATCAAACCCTCTGCGTAATTTGCTCCAATATAGTAAATACACCCTCGGGTATTCATTCAGCCCGAGCAGTCGGTGCGTTAAAGAGGTGTTCATTCCGGGCGGAATTATTTTCACGTACTATCCTTACGAAAGCCTCTATTCAACAGTAACGCAAATTACAATCTTTTGAGGTTTCAAGTAGGTGTCTTACTTTTATGTTGATAAGTGTTTTGACCATCCCCCATGGTCTTTCCGTTTTACGTCGCATCCTCTACACTAGCAGCAGGGAGCGCAGGGGGCCGCTGAGAAAGCTTGACTCACAGTGTGATGTGTCCAGCGGTTTACACGTTCTCCCCCACAATGCTCTGACGCACAACATTCACAACTAGACACTCGTAAGAGGTCAGCTACAGCATTGTCAGGCTGAATTATCTAGCGGTCTTTACGCTGTCAGAGGGATGTGCAAAAGCTCCTTTACAGACTTCAGCAATTATGTTTGCACATCCACGTCTGTGTGTCATTTTCATAACAATTTATGTCATTACGCATACCATTTCCTTATTTTCTTTTTCCACAGTATTGTTCTTTCGCGGAACAGGGCCGCTTTTTCTTGAATTTGTATTTGCAATTCGTTCGAATTCGACTTTTGTTTTTTTCCTGTTATTGTTCAGTTATAGAACGGTCTCCTGCCTGACACTGCAGTCTGTTAACGTTGCGATTTCCGATACATCCTCCCATACATACATTATTTTATTTCTGTCCGATAGGAAGCCTACACAAAGACTCAACTATATATAAAGCGATTGTTGCGCATAGCCTACACGAAACTGAATTCCACGTATTTTATATGAAAGATTATATTTTAAAAATACTTTTCAGTAACGACAAAAAGCTATGGCACTTTCCACCTGCCGCCAAATAAACTTTTGCGAAAAGAGATAGCCTATAGTTGCAGAAGGCGGGTAACCATAGCAACGGATCATTATCGCTGCATTCTGCAAAAAAGTAGTAGGCTACCATCATTTGTCACTTTATAACACACTCTTATATTATTGAAGGTAGTTAAGAAAAATTAAATTATTTATAATAGGCGCATCAAAGCAAAGATGACCATTAACAGCTTCTAAGAATGACTTGCGTTGAAAGTCATTCGGACGCAGATTTGAGACTGATAAAGACATTATTCCCATGGACAACGGCATTGCACTGTCAAAGTTAACGAATGTTGTTTTATTGTAAGGGATCGGTTATGACGTTTGCCTCTCTCAGTCGCACGCGCGCACACACACGCGCAGTAGTCTCACTGCCCACGGCATGGACGTGCGCACATTATAAGGAATCAGTGTGCTCGGAGTGGCGCAGAAGGCTTCTCCGTCATGCACTAGGTAGTGTGTGATGTAATTTCGGTGCAGATATAAATATCTTCGGCAAGGGAAAAGTAGCATGGCTGAGCGAGGCTAGAACTGACGGTCAACATTTTGCAACTTTTGTGTGAGAACAAAACAGCTTGAACACCAATCTGAAGTGTAGTGTCTTGAGAGGAAACCCACTGAGCGCGACTTCATGCCGCTCACTAGGGTTGGCCGTAGCTCTGTCCGTGAGTAAGCCGTTTTGTGCGTCTTTTTGGCTGCCGACACAAATACAGAGAAAGACGGTAGTTTGGTGTCTTCAACTCTTTCAAACGCTCACGTACCGCTCAGAAGGATGAGTGTCCATTCGGCCCTATTACCAATAGTGGTCTTAGGACTTATGACAAGCTCAGTGCGCTGCGCTCCGCTGCCCGGTGGGCAGAACGGACCCGTGGAGCGACGCTGGGAGACCCTCTACTCGCGTTCTCTAGCCCGAATCCCCGGGGAAAAAAGAGATATCAGCCGGGACAGTGATTATCTCACGGGCATTAAAAGACTGCGACGTCTCTACTGCAATGTTGGCATCGGGTTTCATCTCCAAGTATTACCGGACGGTAGAATTACCGGCGTGCACAACGAAAACCGTTACAGTAAGTTTCATCTGTTATTTGCACTTATGCATGCTGGATCGGCTGTTGGATTTGAAACTGTCACCCAAATGAAACTGAATTACGAAAAAGAATTAGCTTACAGAATTAAGTAAAAAAAAAAAAAAACACAAATAACGCGCAGTGGCTGTAATTCAGTAAAAATAATTGTAATAAAACTTTAAGTTACACGAATTCAACATCGTGCCATGTTTGATAACATCAACAAAGCATGTTGTAGCGCTTCGATTTACATTTCCCGAATCAAGTCATCAGGTGTGGTAGTGCACCAGCATCTGGCATCCTGCGTTACGCACGCAACAGGTATCCGTAACCAGAGCAGGACAGGAACCGGGCCAAAATCCCAAGCCTAAAGTTTAAAGTTTTAAACTCATCCTTTACGGTAGATTAACCCTTCACTCTTTAAAACGATAAAGGTTCTTCAGTGATTCTTTGGTTCAGACTTTCAGGCTTCTTTAGAGAATGTTCAGTCTATTACACACCAGTACAGATGGTTTTCTAAAGAACTACAGATTAAATTGTTTTGGAATTTAAAATGTCTTCTTTTGACATTAGGCTAAAACAAAATATTTCTGAGACCATATCTTTAAGAATTTCAACCTAATGTCAATTCAAGGCAAATGCAATATATAACAGGCGTTCTAAACATCTGTGTTGACGCACTTCATAAGTTTCTAAAAACAAACCCAAGAAGTACTGGTTATGTTTGTCAACATTCATCACAGACTAAACAAACAGTAGTTATTTTATCATTAAATGAGAAACATTGTTACAAAGTTTATTAGGCCTACTAAGTTTTCCTTAGACCCGTCTAAAGTGGTCAAGGATCTGATAATAGAAATGCTCTTTTTCTGACACGTGTCAATCAAATCATTGGGGAAAGACGTGGTTTAAAATAAAGCAGAAGTAATTTAAAAATACATCTTAGTGGTTTTACAGAGAAAGAATAGATGCGATATTACGTTTGGGAAATTTGAAGAGGCGGAAAGTGTCATTTCCTTCAAAAAGGATGCTCAGGCAACTTAAACGTAAACACGTACAATTTTTAGAAAGGCAGTCATGGTTGGGAGTTGCCAGACAGGGCTAAAGATATAAGCCAAACAAGGTCATTTATTTTCTTTGTTGTGTGTTTAAGGTCTTCTTGAGATATCTCCGGTGGAGAGGGGAGTTGTGACAATGTTTGGCGTCCGGAGCGGGCTATTCGTGGCCATGAACAGCAAAGGGAAGCTTTTCGGATCTGTGAGTATGAAATGATTTACAACGGGTTTCCGCCCGTGGATGTTCTTATCAGAGCTCGATGACATATCACCCTGTACTTGAGATGTATCCCCTCACGGCCTCACCACCGACCTCCCTCTCCCCGTCGCACAGTCTCCGACAGCGTTACATTGTTGAACTCAGTTGTGGCGTGCTTCCAGTGACTAGTGGTGTTTTCATTGTGGGACGGACAAACCCAGGAACGGTAGCGCAGTAGATCATTCGGACTACGCATTCCATTCTTAGCATTGCCAGCCAACACATGCACCTACTGTCCTTCCCAGTCAGAGTAAAGATGAACTGGCCAAAGAGGACCACCCAAACACCATACTGCTACCCTCTCCGATTTCTTCACATAGACTGTCCAAGACCCCCAAAACACCTACGTTTCTATGACCCAGAAATCGCGTAACTTGATGATAGATGTCATTTTAAACCAGTCAGGCCAAGCCATATGGATCTATCAACTTTGGTTGTCCCTTGCAAAACAATCATGAAGACAGACCAAAGCTGTCTCTTTGCTGTAGATTATAAAATATGATAAACCGTTTGTTCTGTTTGCTCCATAAAATTCCTTGCTGTAAAAGAACGTCGCTTTATTATTTAATGAAAATGCCGATGATATAGCCTGTTATGACTCAAGAGAAATGTCAATGAAAATAATAATTGCTATGTCGTTTTTTATTGTAGATGCAGTTCACAGATGAATGCGAAAATAATCATTTCTATGTTCTTTTTTTATTGTAGATGCAGTTCACAGATGAATGCAAGTTCAGAGAAAAGCTCCTTGCAAATAATTACAATGCGTACGAATCGCAGGCACATCCCGGGATGTACATCGGACTAAGTAAGACTGGCAAAACAAAAAAAGGAAATCGAGTATCGACATCAATGACGGTGACACATTTCTTGCCTAGAATTTGAGCTCATTTGGAGGGGCGCAAGGCGGAGGAACGACGATGCACTTTCTACAGAAGTTAGGCTACATGTGAGGTTAAGTGTATCGTGTCATGTATGTAAATAGTAGACTATTTATATCTGTTGATTTTATATTCATCACAACGTCCTCTTTCATGGAAAAGACAACAATTAATTTATTTGTTATTTGTTAATTTATCCTCATTGCTGCTACCATGTGTTCATATACAAGTGAAATTCCTACAATGTACATTTTTTGCACTGTTTGTGTTGTTCTAAAGCAACTGTTTTGGAGAGGTAGCCTAGTCAGTGTAGACGCCATATTTATTTTCTCGCGAATGAAAACAAGGTTTGTAATTTTCAGAACAAACGGTGTACAGCCATTGGGAAGGTTTTGGAAAGACGCATTTCAATTTTGCGTCTGCTGAACGATCAACACCGAGAGAAACACTATCCGTCGCAGCCCCGTTTTAATTTTTCGCATCACGAAAAATTAAATATGGCGTCTACGCTGAATAAGGTCCATTTGTCCTTCGTTGGAAAGAATATGTAAGTCTTAGGTCAAGCCTCCTATCGTTAAGGTGTATCAACCCCCATAGTATTAGCACTGGAGCAATTGTCCAATGTCTGAGTTCCTTTGTGCGGAGCTCGGATCTAACTGAAGCTGTATCGGCTTACTCTAGCTTACTGAAGTTCTACCCCTTCAAATCTGTTTTTAGCTCTGCCGGGGGGGTTGAACTTTGAACTTATCCTGCAGTCAATCTTTGTCACATTTCTAAGGCTCTGGATAGAGAGAAGTAGCTTCTTTAACATACAGACACGAATTAAAAAATTCAAAGGCATTGCAATGCAGATACTGTACCCTGAGCCCCTTTAAAGAGACATACTGTACAAAGCCAAGTCCAAGTCAGTCTTTGCTGGGTGCCTGGGGGGAAATCAGTCATGTTAAAGATCAGTATTTTTCTATGGTGGTAACACGGAAACAAAGAAATGACAGTGTTGTGTGTAAGTGAACGAAGAGTTAAGGTAAAAACAACTTCCACAGTGAGTTTCGAGGAGGAGTATTGCCCACTTTTTTGTCGTTTTCTACCTCATGCAGTTTCCAACTGACAGTTTCCTACTTTGAAAATCAGCTGACATAGAATGTTTAGTTCTAAGTTGCTCTTCTGAGACTTCTGAGGCTACTGCTACTCTGTGAAGTTCTGGCGGCCATTGCGTCCTAGTTGCGCCTTGTCACGTTTGAGCTATCTTTACCCTGCGATTTACTTTTAGAAAGGATAATCATGTTGGAAATATTTGCAGACAGCTGTTAGACTATACTATATGCTCAACCAGTAACCCTATATTTTTCTTTATATATTTTGTAAATGCAATATGGTGCAAAACTGAGAAGCTGCTTTAAACATGGTAAATGATGCTAGTAAAATAAATATTAAGATATGATGCATTCATGCAGGGATAAACAAGCTTTCCATCTTGAACCTTTAAAAACACATATTCGAGAGATTATCTTTAAAAAAAGCATTCCTTATTTTCATCGAAATGGCCTGCAGGTACACTTAATTGAAAGAAACTAATGTACCTGAGTGTAAACTAAAGTGAAAATGGATGGGCTTCAAGAAGCTTTAAAGAAAGCATTACGAGACAATTTTGAAGCTAAACTGACTGATTGGCCTCAAAAGCATGAACACATTCACATGGTTTTATTTAAAGCCATGGTATTTCAGCCGTTACGTGTCCAAATTTGCCATTTGTTTCTTACCATGCCCTGCCTGGATGTGCACATCAATTTGTTTCACTTGATGACTCTGAGCTACCTGAGCTAATGCTGGAGGAGGGAGGGTTGTCCGTGTTTCTCTTTTACACAGCTGTGCCAAACCTCTTTCCAAATGGACATGATTTGCATCAGTGTGGATGTTGTTTACAATAGACCGAATGGCCACTGAAGGCAAATTGTCCCTGACCCTCATTACAATGTAGAACTGACACAAAGCATTGGTCTTGATTTGTTTAACCAAAAAAAAATGCAATATCAACAGGCATGACCTAGTAGCCTGAGATTAGTGAAAATGGAACATCCTCGTCTTTCAATACAACTATGTTTTTTAATGTGTTTATGAACAGGGACATATGTGGTGTATTAAAATAAACCATATACCATTTCTCTGTCAGTTCCCTTCCCATACAGTTGTGTTTGCATCCATGGCAGAGCTCTAGTAAATGGGCTGATGTCTGAGTCCTGTAGTAGTGCGCTCTGAATCCTGTTTTACTAAATATTGTCTGTAGTTTTATACAGGTCTTGTTAAATATTGTGATGTATGTGCTGTGCACATGATGATACCCTAACTTAAATGGAAGTTAATAAATATGTCAATCATACTGGTCTGGGTGTTTTTAATTCTTCCTACAAAAGCACATGAAGGTTCAATAAAACCGACAGCTGTGATGGCACAAAACACGTAAAACTAGAATATCTCCCAGCATAACTATAGAAAGGGGCCTTTCCCTGGTGAAGCTAAAAATACGCTCACAGACTTGTGTCACTTGACTATGCGGGCCCGCCTGGAGTGCTGTGCCTGATATTTCTACAAGGACAGCACTGCCAAGACACTCTACTGCTGTTATTTAACTTGCCAAGGCCCAGTTTACAGATTGGGTGGTTTTGCCATCCACAAAGCCAAGCGGTCACTCCTGGGAGTGGAAACCTCTCTTTCAACTTCTGTGAACGTTTACAGAGGAGGACTCCACTGCAGCCCTTCCAGGCATGCGGGTCTATGAAAGGGGACCCCGTTTAAAGTGGTGTGGGCCCTTCCTTTTTCTGTGTGCTGACTAATGAGCAGATATGTCAGACTGGTCTTTGTGAGGCCACGATTGGCTTTTACTCTAGATCAACTGCCAATGCTATTGTCTTTCTTTAGTACAATCCACAAACTGACATTTTATGCAAAGAGAGTTATGCATTTCCATGTAAGTATAGGACAACAAAAGGAGACATGAATGACAAAGGACAATCCGCATCCAGCCAAACATCCATTTAGTTGTCTTTTATCTGTAACTACTGTATAAACTTTGATCGATCACTTATTTATTTGTTTGTTTATTTATTTTATTTTGAACAGCTAAAAAGATACTTACATTCACATTCAACAGGTGAGAGTGGCAAAAAAGTCCACGATAATAAACAAACAAACAAACAAAAAACAGAGAAAATAAAAATTAAAATGCATTCCAAATTCGAGTTGGAATTCAGATTGGTTTCTTATAGTTAAAAACAAAACATTTATAACATGATTAAATGTAATAACTTAAAAAATGTCATGTGGTGTAACCATCAAGTAAAAAACATTAACATAACTTTCCTTACACCTTGAATACATGTGCATACATATTCATTATTATTTTCAAAAAACATCTATTTTTCAGGTAAAAAAGTATTTTTAGAAATATAATGAATTATTAATTTATAAATATCATACATATTTGGGAAGTGGATCCACATGACATTTTATACCTGAATTAACTGTGACTTGTCATAAAAATTCAGATTATCTTATATTATATCATAAATTTTTTTTGAATGTTGGCCGCACTATATATGACTTTAATTTTGTGGACAAAAACTTTATTTAATGAAACTATATATATATATATATATATATATATACTGTATATATAATATATATATAATTTTATATATATACTGTATATATAATATATATATAATTTTATATATATAATTATGATATAAGAACAGTTCATCTTTTTCACTTTATATCCCTTCAAAAACACCTAAATTTATTTAGTTAATTTAATTCAGAAATTAAAAGCATGCTCATAATCGAAGAGGTATATTCAAGTCACTGTACGTGTAAATTGCATGTGTAAAGTACTTTTGAATAAATTTGACGTCATGCCATTGATCTTTACTTTACAATACACACTCTGCACTTAGTATATTCAAATAAACCTATCACTTTAAAGCAGGACAGGCGAAGTGAGACAGGTGTGGTCACTTAATACACATGTATTCCTGGACATGAGCTGGGGCTAAATGGAGCCCTATCATTGCCCAGAAGAATGACAACTTTTTGCTCCAATAAACTTAGTCTGCCATGTATGAGGGTTGTAAAGGCCCTCCTGAAAATAGGTTCTCTTCACCGCCTATCTGCGTCAGTTTCATTGTCTGTCAACCAAATAAACATCCATCCACCTCTCAAGTGCTTCTTCTCCATTAAGTTGTTTGGCCCAAAACTGTCTTTATATCATAACAGGCTTTTCAAGTTCTCAAGAGCACAAAGACTTCACAAGACGTGCCAATGGCCTAACAGCTCACAACAATGTGTTCGCTAACAGAAAGTATATTGAGAGTAATTCACTTACTGATGCTCTGGCAGCCAGGTGGCGGCTTTAAGCTGAAGGGAGGAGAAGGAAGCAGAGGAGGAAGGTGGAACGGGACACTTTGGCTACTTTGGCATTGTCTGTGGTCATGCCTATGGCCCATCCTTCTGTAGGAACAGAGAGGCTGTGACACATGTAGAGCTCTTCAGGGGCAAGTCAAAACCACTTATGTTACAAATAACATTACATGACCTCAGGCAATACATGTCTAACAATACAGTCAATCACGGACAAATACACTCCCATTCAAAAGTTTGTGGTTGGTAAGATTGTTTTTGAAAGTTTCTTATGGTCAGTGTATTTTGAACATAAGATCTTAACTTATGATTATATATTTAGTAAAAAGTAACATTGTGAAATATGATTACAATTTGAAATAATGGTTTTCAGCATTTATTTAAAATACAAATATTTTGTAACATTATACGTGTCTTTACTGTCACTTTGATAAATTTAATGCATCCTTGCTGAATAAAAGTATAAAGTTCCTTAAAAAAATCTTTGACTTCTAACTTTTGAATGGTATGGACAGACAGACGGAAGGATGGACAGACATTCAGATAATCAATAACAAATACATGGTGAATTTTCCCTATTATTCCCCTTAT